GCTCCACACTTCAAGCCTTTTGACGCCTCTGTGCCCAGCCCAGCAGCAGCGTTGCAAGAGATCAGGTCCGGCTGGATCTTGATATGCACCAGCGCAGAGTACAGCTGCAGGGCCTCCTGCCAAACGCCGCCCTTTTCACCTTTGCTGCAGGCAAGTGCGATGACACGGCAGCCAGGGGATGCGAACACATCGTCGCAGATTGACCATGAATCAGAAGAGCTTACGTTTCAGCTCTAAGGCACATGCTGTGATGGCAGCGTTGTGTATGAGAATGTTTGCCTGAAGTCTGGCGTTCTGCAACTCCTGTCATCAGTCAACAGCTTATCTCCAGGGCAAGGTTAGGCCATGCTTGGGAACCCTAAACTGGGTTGCTGTTAAGGAACTTAAATTAAGTTACTATATTGGGGAAACCCTATTATTTACTATATATACCCATGATGGTAACTTAATTTAAGTTCCTTAACAGCAACCCAGTAAACCCTAAACCCTAAGCCTTCACAGGGTCCTCCATCAGGGTGAGGGCCCAGCCCCAGCTGTCGCAGCTGTCGCGGTCCCGGTAGAGGGCACTCATGGCTGCCCCAAAGGTTTGAACATTGGCTGAGGCCCCATCTGGCAACCTGTACACCCATGATTAATAAACCCCCTCCTTTTAAGGGCCTTAAAAAAAAAAGGATCCCTATCAATAATCCCTACAAGGGGAAGGGCTTCTTAGTCAGGGGTCTAGATTACAGGGCCGACCTCGAGAGCAGCAACAAGTTCAAGGGCCAGTGTTCAGCACCCACCGAATTCACAGCTGCTGACCAGACCACGATGTCCGGCTGAACTTGCTCAAGCTTGAGGCCCCCAAGCAAAAGAATGCAAGCTTGCCAGTCCGCACTGCATCTGCAGGCATGGACTGCAGAGCTGTAGGAAACTACGTCCCGCGTCCGCACTTCGCGGACTTGCTCCAAGAGCTGCAGCGCCCAGCTCCACGAACCAATGCCCTCACATGCACGAATGAGCGTGTTGAAGGACACCTGCCGTGAAGTGGTCCGAAGTCCATGCATTTAATTTCTTTGAACATTACTAGTCCGAATGTCCACCACGAGTGATCCAGCCTAGAGAAAACATCTTAAAGCCCTGGCAGCTGCCCCGCACAGAAACAATCACAAGCTTTGGTGTAGCAAAGGATACGTCGCACCCCCAAACCCAAACATTTCTTGTGAACACGACCTGGTCCGCGAGTTTGTAGCCCCAGAGATCAGCGAATACTTGGCTTGCCGCTCTCCAGTCGGCAAGCCGGGCATTCAGGGCAACATTCCCAGAAACACGATCCCTCTGACCGATTTGTCCAGCCTCTAGGCAGTGACCAGCTTGAAGCCAAAGCCCAGCCCTTAAAGTCGCACTGGCAACAGAGTTGTACGCCACTACCCCCAAGCGTAAGACTGTCCGCAGCTGTGACAACAGGGAGACAGCCCTCTGCCAATGTTGTCGTCTGGTGAGGGGGCGTATGCACAGCGACCCATCTCCTGGCTTCCCTGACAGCCGGAAGCTTGTCAAAAGAGCGAGGTGGAGCTCGTCTTGCCATGTGGGCCCACCAGAAGCCATCAAGGGAAGGACTCAAAACGAACGTCATGCAAATCCGCACAACTATGTGCGGGGGCTCTACAGCACGAAAGGCACAATCCCTTGAGCCATTCGGGCTGAGGTTCTGCAAAAGGACTGTACCCGGAGAAGCTGCACTGGCAAAGCTGGTATCTGCCCCTATCAAGAAACCCTTGTTCTGTCATTCAGATAAGGATAAAGGCTCAATTTAAGCCTCGTCTGTCGGGCATACAAAGATCAAACAGAAACTTACGGTTCAGTGCTTTTGGCCGAGGTATGACGAGTTTGTCAAAGAATCAAGACCGCATTTTGAAAGACTACTTGATTCCAACAATACCTTTGCCGGTTGATGCCTGCACGAATCCCCCACGGGTGGCAAAAAACAGTTGAAAGAATGAATCGTCTGCTGGGGATACCTGCTCTGCTGAGGTTTTGGGTAGTCGGGATGCAGTCGGGATGTAGTTGAAACAGGCACGCGACTGCGTTCATGACTTTTACCCGCTGGGCGCCACAAGTGCTAAGCGCCTGCCTCGCTGGCAGGCAGCCTATTTCCTCCAGGGTCATCTCCTCCACCACCTTCAAGAAGCTTAAGATTTGCTCGAACCAGACCTGAAGGCTCTCTTGGCTCTCTTGCTTCACTCGCCGACACCGCCTGCGTGCTCTGCGTGCTCTGTGCCGCGGCCAGCCAGGGAGGCTGAGTCCAAGAGCCGCAAAGGCATAGACAAAGCTCCAAGTGGGTGCAGAGGCTGCCTGGAAGCTCCTTCCACGGAGTCCGCACAGCTTCGCATGGTCGGGCCGTTCATCCCTCAGATGCCAGCAGCCGCACCGAAGGTAAATGCTGCCGGATTCCTGGCAGCTGCTGTGCATTTCCTTTGCCTGAAGCTCAACAGGGCACGAAGCCACAAAGGGAAGCTCGCACAGCGCATGCCATGTCGTTCAGCTAGATCATCGGGACCCCAGTTTGACAAGGACAGCTGGAGATGCACCCAACTCTGCTATTCAAGACCATGCAGCAACTCCTAACAACAAAGACCTTCTGCATTAAAAAACCAAACCTCTCCAGCCTCGCAAAACAAATCTTGAGCACGAGTGAGCACTCCTTGCTTTGCGCTTTCGTAGCAACCATCACAGTTGCTGGCAGCCAGAGTCCTAACATCCTGACCGCAGCTAGTGTGGGCGCTCTTGCTGTTGACTGTTTCTCTCTGCTTGCCATTCTCGGCAGGGGCATGCTCCAAACTTGCTTGTCGGTCTGCCACCAACTCATCACCTAGCTTTGCACCCAGCCTATGTTGCCACTGTTTCCAAGCCACCCGCTAAGCAGCAATCAACATCCTTCCTAAAACATGCGCCACCTACCTTGCAGCTTGCACCAGGCCTTGAAGAGAGCACATGACGACACGCCTGCAACGAGGAAATTGAACAGCTTCAGCTAGTCAATGGATGTTACTGTACGGCAAGTGCAGCCAGGGAGAAGTTGAAACAGAGGCGTAAGGAACGAGCGCAAACGCAGCAACACTTCCAGGTGGCCACAACGATCAGACAGGCGCGCAAGCACAAGAAAAAGCTGCGAAACATGTCTGATGACGTGGCATGCGCTCGTGGAAACTTATTCGGGAAGGGTCTAGGCATGTCCAGAAAATTTTCAGGCTTGGGAACTGGCTCCAACATCAAAAGTTCCTGGAAGAAAGCAATTTGGTGAGCGCCCCTTCTGACTGGCCAACGTATCAGACGAAGTCCTACAACTCGCACGACTGAAGTCCTGGCAAAACTGCCATTCTGGTCCTAGTGCTGTGCTTTGAGCTTCCTGCCTTAAAGCGGTGGGAAATCTGGACAACTACTTGAATCTTTATTGTGCTGTTGCATTGTCATCTGATGTCCAAACCTCACGGATTTCAGGAGGCGCCTGTGCATTCATGCTCTGCACATAATGGGGCGTCCTGCGCACCTTGGCAACTGGCTCTAAAAAAATGTGTTTCGAGATGTTGCTGAATTTGGACATTCTGGTGCCATCTGAACAAAACTGCCTGGAGTGGCTTAGATTAGAGGGTTGTAACGCGAAGGAGCTGCCAGTTCGTAACAGATATCGAGGAGTTGGTGAGAATATCTAGTGGCCGGCATCTTCTCGCCACCTACTAGGGTTACTAGGGCCAAGAGTTTTGAGTTGTCCAATGTTCAAGTTGAAGTGTTCACGGCTTCAGGCCTAATCCCAACCTATCCATATTGTAAGTGGGATCTGTATACACAACGTACAGGTATGTGCAAAAATTCTCCGGACGGCCCGAAACAACATTGCAAGTGGGATCTTGATTATTATGCGGCGTGCGTTTGGGGAGGTTTGAAGGGAAGGAAAGCCCGTAAAACTCAACAGGAACCGGATCAGAAAACGGATGTTGTAGCATCCCAATACCATCCCTTGCTGCGATACAGCATGATCCAGGACAAGTGATCCCCTCCCCCTAATATTAAACCCCCCCACCCCCCTAATATTCATCCTAAAATATTATGATATGGGTATTGAATATTAGGGGGGTGGGGGGGGGTTTAGTATCACAGGGATGGGATTAGACTAGCATGACCCAGAATCTTTCTTTGGAATTCAGCTTGGAGGACTTCAGAATCGATCCAGCCCCTGCACTTTTTCCGGAAGAGAGAGCTAGGCATACGCCCAGGAGCCCATAGACACCCATAGACCCTGGCACCATTATTGGTGCAAAACATGAATACATATATCTACATATCCCCTGAACCTCCCATATAACTCCTATGTAAATGCAATTACCCAAGCCAATGGAATAACAAGCCTCAGCAGATCAAGAGTGCAAAGACTTGTTTGGTTGCCACTGTGCCTGCATCCACGCCTTGAGCGTGAAGAGAACCCCCCGGAACACCCGCTAATCTCAAGCTTCGGTAGACAAAGGCTCTGGCTACTGCAAGTCAAAGCTAAATGAAGCTACAGCCTAAACTCCTAGCATCCCCCTGAATAAGCCCTGCAATACTCCCCTTTATAATCCCCTAAATAATCCCCCTTTCAGGAGTATGGATTATAGCTGAATCTAAGCTATAATACTAGCTGAAAGTCTATCAAATCAAGGAGCTGGCTAGCAGAGCTACTAGATCGTCAAGCGTTCCAAGCGGTCACCTTCAGATTGAAAACTGGGCCCAAATTAGACAGCCGCCATGAATTCAATCGTGGTCCTGCGCGCAAGTCCATCAGTAGATGCTGATCCTCCCCTTTGTCCGTTGTGTCTCTGTACCACTGGTCTCGACACAATTACAAACAATTTAAGAGCAAGCTGTGATTACTGGAGTTTGCGGTGGTGACAGGCCCACGTCTTCAAATGAACCATTTTTGCGGTTTAAGGCAGCTCACGCTGCGACTAAAACGATCTCAGCTACCCCTGAAGCAGCCATCTCAGTCAGACTTGTCGCGGCTTACCTTCAGTGGACAGCCGCGTCCATATCCTCTTGGAGGCATTGCCCTCATCTATCAGGTCCCACAAGGCGGGAAGGACCGCGGCCAGTGGGAAGTGGCCGTTGCCAACTGCCACGCGCAAGCCTTTCACAAACTTCCGCGCAAACATGAAGCCTTCCTGCACCAGCTTCCAAAGATATTCAATAGATAGAGTGTCGAAAACGGCCGGGTAGCCGTTTAGCTCACGTTTTAAGGCCGACTTGAAGAAGTTGAACTCGCGGTCCGTTAGCATGCGGAACTGGCCGTGCTTGAAGACTATGTCGAGATCTTTGGCAATGTTCTCCGAGTGGTCCAAACGACTTTCTGTAAAGCAATGCCGCCAAAGAACATAAGTCAGGCATTGCTGCTCTACCCCAATCCGCGTCAGGTCGGCCCACGTGTTCCCGGTGCTCCGCTCACTGAGTTCGACATCAAGGAGAAGGGCCACCACAGGAACCGATTCATCACTGCAACCTTCGCCCATGTTCAGGAGGTCTGGGGCTGCTAACTGCCAGGTGTCCTTCCACATGTCCAGTGCCTCCACTGCTCTCTGAATGATGACCTCTGCGTGGTCCCGCATAAGGACCACCCACTGATGATGCTTCACTATGCCTGAGCTCAAACAGAAGGAACTAGAGGAAAAGACATCCCTGCAGAAAGCATTAAAGCATCCGGGGCACGTGGGTGGATACTCCGGTAGAAGTCACGGAAGACCTGGAAATTTACCGAGTTCACACACAATCCGCTTGATTTCAGGCTGCAGACGGAGGCTGTCGCCCAACTCGCATCTGAAACCCTTCTCAACTACTATACCCAAGAGGAGGATATAATCTTACTCCATGTTGGGTACCATAATACCCCCAAATAAAAGCTACTCATCTGAAATCCTTCCAAACAAGTCCGAAGCGCACACTTCCGCTTCAGCTCGTTCCTAATCGTCTCTGAGGTCGCCATCTTGTGGAAAGCTGGTTCCTTGTGTCAGCGGTTTAGGGTTGAGTCTCGTGGGAAACCTACCATTAAGGCGGAGGGGGGTGAATATAGGCATCATTACAGGGGTATATATGGGGATTATATACGGATGATCATAGGAATTATTATAGGGATCCACTCCCCCACTCTCCTTTATGCACCAGTCAGGAAATGGTGAGGAGGAATTCAAACTAAACTCAACACAATGCAAGCAGTCACAGACACCAAAACACCTAGCTGAAATCTCGACAAGTGCCGAGCGGCGCGTGCTGCAATTTTACGGGAATAAGGCATCCTGTCTTACTACTGACCTGGACGCCTGCGCCAGTTGCTAGCAGTAAATGCCGGGGATACCCCAAGCGGGCATCTGAATCTATGTATATCTGGTAGTTTCCCAAAATAAGGGGACCCCAATATAGACCCCAAAATACTATAGTCCTTATTATAGGGACCCCCAAAAGGGTACCCCTAATTCTGGGAAACTCCCATCTGTCTCCCTACATCTAAGGACTGAAACTGCGGCCGCAGCGTCAGAGAAGCAGAACTTGCTGGTGGCTGGAGAGTTAATGACCAGCTGCTTGTAGACATAGTCGAAATCTTGGGCGACAGCAAGCATTCATTGGTGATTCGGTTAGAAAGCTAGTTCCCAAAAAGCTTGCATTCGCCATGATCCTCTCTGACCTCGCAAGACGCTAAATTCGTTCAATATCCTGATTTTCTCAAACCTGTCTTTCAGGTACTTGGTCACATCAACCATTCACACCCTGGGCTGTTAGTTGAGTCTGCAAGGCTTTCAACGCAAAACCAAGGCATGGGCTACATTTTTGTCAGCCGAGGATGAATGCCACCCAGAAACTCTTGAGCGGTATCGTGTTGTGCGATAAGAACACGAACTGCTGGTTCCTGGCATCCTCACCATGTTACAAATGAGCGACCTAAGGCACCCCACGCTTGCAAAAGGCACCTAGATGCCCCCGAAGGCAAAAAGTACCCACGTCGGCAGAAGGAACCCCGCGGACTTCAAATCCCTATGCAGAAACCCTTATCACGGCATGCGCTCCAATACTGCGAAAGCTAAGAGACTGTGCACGAGAGGCAGCAAGTGAAATGCCGCACATCCTATGACATTTCACAGCAGAGCCTGAGAAAACAACAGGAGGTTCATGGGTACATAGCCAGCTTCCGACCGAACTAGGGGACTGAGACGGTTTTGCCTACTTTTCAAGCCACAAGACCTTGGAGCCCAAACAAAAAGAGAGGGATATGGCAAGCATGTGTATATATATATAAACGGACCCTGGAACACCTTACTTCATATTGGATGTGTGCGACGCTATGGCCGTAGAAGAGAAGCCCCAGGCACCACGCACCCGCGGCACGACTTCACACAACACGGAACGACTTAACGCAATATTACTATAGTAAATGAAAAGATGTAGCAATTTAGGAACTGAAGTGTGGACGCCCTCGAGAGACATGCCGCGCGACAGGGTATGATGTGCCAAGGATATGGTAGGATGTGGAAATCCCCCAGTGTGACGCCCTCGAGAGACATGCCGCGCGACAGGATATGATGTGCCAAGGATATGGTAGGATGTGGAAATCCCCAGTGTGACGCCCTCGCGAGACGCCTTTCGCCTACCCGGGACACCTTAAGTCAACCAATTGTAGCAAGAAAACACCGCACTTGGCAGAAAGCGTCAGTCAGGGCTCTGCCTGGGAAGCACCATAAATGCTGTACAAGGACATCGCAAACAAATGCGAATGCGTCTCAAGAGAAGAAGTTAAACCGGCCTGCGAAACGAGCACTGCCAACTGTCCCCAAACCTCAAGCCATTGGTAGAAACCCCTAGCTCCCACATCAACCCAGAGACCCATCAACACTCCATACGTACATGCTCACATGAAGGAACAAGCGCCTGCAGCGCCGCGTGCAGCAGCGCGACCTCAACGCCAAAGAGGGCACACCAGCGGTTCTCCACCTGTCAGCTCTCACTTGACACCTTTGTAATGGCTCCTACTCCCTGCGCACAGGAGCAGAGTCTGACAAGGGCAAAGCTGTCAGGAGGACAAAGCCATTGTGTTCAGGGCTTCAACAGGAGGCGGCGATGGCGACGACAGATCCTGAAGACCCCTCGCCAATGTAGCTATCAAACGTGACAGCGCTTCAAGGTGTGGAAAAAATTGCTGAATCTCAGTACTGCTTGGTGTCGCAGCGAGGGAAATCCCAGGTGCCCAAACCAATACACGCCTTTCACACAATAGTCTCAACAGCAGCAGCACAGTGGAGCAACTTTCTGAGAACTCAGCACGCAAAAGCATCCGCACCCTAAACCCCAACCAAAGGGACCCTAATTCAGGAAATCAGTGCCTGGGGGATTTCCACAGCTCCCCAACGGCTCAGGGGCCTTGGCTGCAGAAGGACGACATATAGAAAAAACGGAAAAGAAAATGTAAACTAATAGTTAGGTTGTAAGGGATAGAAGGAGAATGGAAGAAAGAAAGTGGAAACCAAGTAGAGATAGTACCCAAATGATGGAGAATGAAATGGAAAAGCGAGTTGGAAATGAAATGGACACTAGAGTAATATAGGTTTCTATACGAGGATATTGCCCCAAGAAGAGCCCAAGGGATGTCTTCATAATTACGTTGGGGCTGTGTAAGGGTATATAGGAATGATGGGCAGGAAAAGGCAGGTGAAATGGAAACGGGGATTAAAGAGGGGTTGGTAGGTTCTGCGAGTAATGAGCTGCAGGACCTGGTCCTCAGAAGCGAATTGCTGCATCTGCAATTAACCCATCAAACTGCCATGGGACAGGCTGAGAGATACAGCAGCTGGTAGTCTACCAATCGGGCTCGATTCTGAATTCTGAGCATCCTATATTTATTCTCCTAGGTCCTAGACCCCAAATCTAAACCCTAAACCCCTAAACCAAGCCTCTCACGCCTACCCCTATCCCATTGTCAACACTCCTCCTTGCGGAGCCCCCACGATCCCCTATGCAAATCCAAGGATCGTGGTAGCTCGGCTCCAAGATCGAGACCAGCCTGTATCTTTCAAGTTTGACCCCTTTCGAATGTGACAACTCTGAAAAGACATGCTTTGCACGAAGCAAATCACATCAGGATGATTTGCAAATACTTTCTGCCTTTACGTGCAGCTTGCCCAGGCAAACAAAACAAGCACGCATCTCAAGATAGCAAGCTGTTTGGTCCCACGCCTTACAAATGCAGCAGAATATGATGCCTTCATACCCTGTAAAAAACCGAATGTGAGCTGGGGGGCCACCAAAGCCTTCCATGAAGCGGCGGCCCCCTGCTTCTTTGCTGCTCGCGCGGTGGATGTAGATTGAATAGGCGCCGCGCCTAACGGAGGCAGGCTGGCTTTGTATGACTTGGCAATTTCCAAACATGGGGGGACCCCGATAAAGGATTTATAGAGGTTTATATTATATGGGGAATAAACAGAGGATGTTGGCAAACAAAATTGAAACTACTATATAACCATTAGCAATTATTGGGTATATAATCGTTTCCATAAACAGGGGGATCCCAACATAGGCCCCCATGTACTACAATCCTTTTTATGGGGACGCCCATAACGGTATCCCTCATTCATGGGATTCCCCGCTGGTCTTTAGATGTCGCGGAATGGGCGGTCCAGAACTGTCTTGAAAAAACAGCGGCGCGCTGCTGCCAGGAGACGACCCAGCATCGCCAAAGAACTTGTCCCAAACGTCCTGGCTTTGATCTACTTGGTCCCACAGAGGGCTTCATCATTCATTGAGATGAACTCCCGCCGAGCACTGCGGCATTAGGGCCCTCAGTATGTGAACTACATGACGTCAATCACGCGAATGCGGATTCCAATTCTTCAGGCAATGCCTCATAAAGAGCGTAGACTCCAGCTGGAGAACTCGTCTGGGCTTGGCATGATGCCATTGTGTGAGAAGTCAACACACAGGTAATTCATCAATCCGTGCAAAAACGCTGTGGATTAGCTGGGTCACGTCATCTTCAGGGAGGGGTACAGGCTCCCAAACCTCGAAGTCCAGGCCATCCACGGTCAAGAAAAGAAAGGCAACCTGCCATGGGGCAACGAGTCTCAGAGCATCATGATCAACACTCCGGTTGCTGTTGGCTGCCCAAATTAATCAAGGCACACTTTATGGATTGCTGCGTGGTGCCCTGGCCATTGAGGTATGCCATCCGCAACTCCATCTACAACCCTTTCAACCTGACTTTTCTGGGTTGCTGTTTAAGAACTTAAATTACATTACCAGACTGGGTATATATGTATATGTACACATCTGCATGTTTTCCCCCGCACACAATAACTTAAACTAAATTCCTCAACAGAAACCCAGAAGAACAGCTTCCCATCTGCTCCCCAACCATTCTCCAACTAGGTTGCCATTGAGGAACTTAATTTAAGTTACTCTACTGGGGAGATCTTATTAGTTACTCTGTAGATATATACCCATTATGGTAACTTAATTTAAGTTCCTTAACAGCACCCCTTCTCCAACCTGCTTGTCGGAAGTTGGCCAGGCCGGAAGCACAGACGGAAGCGCAAACCGCCTCACCTCACAGCAGCGCGAATCACAAGTTACAGAATAGGAAGGGCCTGGGTCGCGAACAAAAATGGGCCAAAAGACCCTGCGCAAGAATGTCACGACCCGTCCACACACCTTATAGCAAACATCGAGATCTTAAGATTGAGGGTCTCCGCCCTTCAGCTTGCACAATATGATCTACTTTGCTTCTGCGGGCCTTTCTTGCTGCGACCTGCAATTACTATCATTACATTACCATTATTACCATGATTATCACTATTCCCATTATTGCCACTATTGCTACTGTTACTAGTATTACTACAAATACTATACTTGTATTATTACTCAAAGGGACTGCAGGCCGCAGGTTTACCCTCGTCAGGTGACCCGTTATCTTGGACTAGGCCTGCTCGAGCGTAGACCCGGAAC